TTTTAAGGAGCTTTTCTGAAAGTCCTGTCCATCAGTTTTCACTTCTGACTTATTCATGCCTGTGACTCCAACACCTAGAATAGTTCCTGGCACAGTGAATGAACAGATGGGTGGGAATGAGAGGATATGAGACTTAAATTTACATTGAGTCTGAGACATAGTTAAGACAACCTCAGATTTGTTGACTTTTCACTTATCTTTCCTTCTAATCATGTGATTCTCTGTCTCTATATCTTCCTCTGTCTCCTGTCTACCATCTCTTCTCAACACATAGATACCTCATCTGGCTCCTTCCAACTCATTGTTTAGGTTGTGGTGGACTCAGAACTCTCTCAGAGATTTCTCTGTCTTTTTGAAAGATATAATTTGACTAAGCACCCCATTTATGTTAACATACTGTCTTTCATTTAGTCTTTTTATTAAAGCAGTTTCCACACTTTATTATTGCAATGAGCTGCCTAAGATAAGGACCTTGGTTTGTCCATCATTATATTATTAGCACTTGAAATCAAGTCCAGAATACAACTGGTATGCAGTTAATATTTACTGAAAATATGGGGAATATTCAAATGAGGTTCTAGATGTTATTATCAAAAAGACCAAAAATAACAAACGTGGGAGAGAATGTGGCAAAAGGGAAACCTTTGCATAGTGTTGGTCGGAATGTAAATTGATGCCGCCACCACTGAAAGCAGTATGAAGGTTTCTTAAAAACTAAATATAGAACTACCATCTAATTTGCCATCTTACTACTGGATACATATTTGAAGAAAACAGAAACACTAAGATACATACACCCCAATTTTCACAACAGCATTATTTATACTATAATAGCTAAGATGTAGCCTAAGTATCCATCAACAGATAAATAGATAAGAGGTTGTGAGTATGTTATGTATAAAATGGAATACTACTCATTCATGAAAAATAATGAAAATTTTCATTTATAAGAATATGAATGAACCTGAGGAGTACTATGCTTAGTAAAACAATCATAGAAAGACAACTATACATTATCACACTTGTAAGTGGAATCTAAAAAGTAAAATAAACATTACAGGATAGAAGAGGACTCATAGATACAGAAAACAAGCTAGTGATTATCTGTGGAAAGAGAAAGGGGGAATAGCAAGATAGGACTAGGGGATTAAGAGATGTGCACTTAGTCACTCAGTCGAGTCCAAGTCTTTGCAACCCTGTGAACTACAGCCCCTCCCCACCCCCCAGACTCCTCTGTCCATGGGATTGTCCAGGCAAGAATACTGGAGTGGGTTACCGTTTCCTCCTCCAGAGGATCTTCCCAACCCAGGGTTCGAACCCATGTCGCCTACACTGATATCAAGAAGCCACAAGAATATATTGTACAGCACAGGTATTATAGCCAATATGTCACAATAACTTTAAATGGAGTATGTAGAAAATTTTAATCATTATGTTATATACTTGAAACTAATACAGTATTGTAAATCAACTATTCCTCAATTTTTTAAAACATGAATGCAAAAAACAAAAATGAAGTTCTAAGTGATTAACAGACATTTCCAAAATCACAGAATTTGATATGAACCTAAGCCTCAGCCTCTGAAGTCCATATTCCACTAAGAAAGGACAAAGATACAAATACAGGAGGACAAAACTGAACCAAAACAAAGCATCTAACTTTACAAATCTGTTTGGAACCAGCTCTTTTTCCCTCACTAAGTTACTGTAGTCACTTAAGTCTTTTCTCAGAGTAGTGATTGACTCAGGTGAATTTTTAGAAGTCACGATCAAACCAAGGGGAGAAGCCCACACTAGTCACTCTAAAAGAGCAGTAAAATTTGCTGCTCTGCGCCTGAAAATTAGTCATTATTTCAGAATTTTCTAGACAAGCCATCTTTACTTCATCTTATTTTTCCCTCTGCTGAGGACTCATGTACATGGGTAATAGCCAAGACAGAAGTCATTGTGTTTGGCAGAGGTGAACAGATAGGAACACTGAGAAAGATGGGAATTTTCAGCAGTGTTTATATGACAAGCCATCCCCCAAGCAGGAGACTGTACAGCTCATCCCCCGTCCGACCTGTCATCTTGTTCCTCTGACCAGAGGGCATTTGTAGAGTTACAAGTCTTCAGCTGCTCTGCTGCGCCAGGGTCAAGAGTGGTGTTGTCCCAGGTACATCCCTGAAGTGTGGCGAGAAGGTGATGGGGCTGCCTGATGAAGTGTTTGGCTTCTTAACCTCCGGAGCATACCCTGTAGGGGTGCGTGGCCTCCTGTCAGGAGCATAAAAACCACCGTAATCATGGCAAGTCACTGTTGTTAAAGACTTGCTGAGACGAGCTTACACATGTGTAATCCTTTTCTTATGGTAATTAATACAAACCACGAAAGTAGTAATTTTTTAAAAGTCAGCTCTGTCATTAAGAAGCATACTGAGTTCATAGGAATTTTAAGATAAAATACAAGTCTCAAAATAAATGGTGCTTTGGACTCAGAACCCCCAGACCTTTCTGAAGCACAGAGATCCTGCTCCTATAACATTAGACTGCGGGGGATGTGATAGAACCAGGGCTTTGAGTCAGGCAGACTTGGGTTCAAAGTCTGGCTCTACTAGTATGTGTGTGTGTGTGTGTATGTGTGTGTGTGTGTGTATATATATATATATATATATGACTTTGAAACCCCTGGAAACTGTTTTTTCATCTATAAAATGAAGATAATAATAGCTAGTATTGTGATTAATGACTTTGTATGGAAAATGCCCAGCATATGTTTAATCAGAAATGGTTTGATTTGATGTTTGAATTATTATGCTACCAGACTCAATAGAATCAGAATTGGAAATTGTGAGTGAGCCTGTTGTGCAATAGCCATGACTTGAGGTTTTGGAGCTTCTGGTAGACACGCTGATATCCCATCGTAAGCACCCTACTCTTTGATTTCCTCCAGTCTGGAGCAGAGGCAGCTTAGAATATACAACTGAACGCATTCCTTTTCCTCATGGTTTACTTGTGAATCAAAACTAAATATAAGGAAAATGCTTTCTCAATTTAAATACAGTAAATACTTTGAATGCCTGCTTCTTAACTTTAAAACCAAATTAGAAGAAGAGAGAGAGCCTGCTCTCTGAAAACTTACCTTTTTGAGAATATGGACATATTGTTAACAAGAGATACACTGAATCTTGAAGAAAACCAGGGAAGCTGAGACAGGGCAAATGGAATCCAGAGGAAGGTTGGGTTTGAGTTTGCCTGTATTATTCCTCTGTCCGTCTCATTTACGATGAAGTCTTAACTCCTTTGGATGGTGTGTAGGGCCTTTAAGATCTGATCACTACCAATCCGTCCTGCCAGCATCCCCATACACCCTAACACACCCTAATCTCCAGTCCAGCGGGCGTTTGCTTCATGGCTCCCACCACAATGGGAGGCGGGAACAGTATAGGCCCTATTTTGATGTGCCTCCTGCCTCTGAATGTGCTGGTCTCTGCATGGAAGCTTCTTGTTTCACCTTTCTTTGTCAGGTCTGTGCTATCCTTTCTTTTAATCATGACCCAAGCTTCAACTCTTTCTAGAGACTTTCCCCAATCCCTTCAATACACTGACCGAATCCTAAAGAACTGTATACTTCACTTACTGTAGCTGTTATTACCAACATTCGAGTGGTTCTTTTTTCCACTGAAAGCTAAGTTCCTTGAAATCATCAATGCAGACTGTCTATTGAACAAATAGTGGCTTAATACACTAAGTCAAGTGGCTTAATGCAATAGAGTTTCTTTCTCTCTCTTCATAGTCCAGATCTATGTGGTGGGTGGAGAGTGGCAGAGAAAATAGAGTCTGCTCCATATAGATATTCCACCCCAGATCTAGATCGTTCCATCTATATGACTCCAACCATCCCAGGGTCTCAGAGTCACCCTCTGATTCTCTGTATCTTTCCAGAAGATGAGGGAAGAGAGAGACCATGGAGGAGCTCCGTGGAGTTATTTAGGAGGCTGAGCCTGCAAAGAGAATGCATCACTTCTTCTGACATTCAATTTGATCAAAACGTTGGCAGGTTCCCCTTACTTCAAAGAAGACTGGGAAATGTGGTTAAGCTTTATGTTCGGCAGTGGTGGAGGTAGGGGGCGGGGACAAAACATGGTTTGGTGCGATAGTCACTCAGTCATGTCTAACTCTGCGACCGCATGGATTATAAGCCCACCAGACTCCTCTGTCCATGGAATTCTCCAGGCAAGAATACTGGAGTGGGTTGCCATGCCCTTCTCCAGGGGATCTTCCCAATTCAGGGATTGAACCTGGGTCTCCTGAGTCTTTGCCATAATATTTGAGGGCATATTGTTCATCTCTAAATCTGTAGCATGTTGTACCATAGATTCTAACTATAATAATCTGTCAGAACAAGTGAAAAATTCTGAGAAAGAAGTAGTAAATAAGTAGATTTGATGAGTACAGTATCAAAATAGATGGTAGTGCATTAACTCTTGACAATCAATTATTGCTGACAAAATACGGGCAGCCTGGTATTTGGAGAGAACAGCCAATGCTTGCCACTCTCCTGTCTTGGCATACAGAGTCTCCAGGACTGGTGAATGTTTTTGTCGGGATCTGGGCACCAAAGAACCTTCCGTTTTTATGCCCAGCTACTTTCCCACCTTGTTTCAGCTTCCTTGCTGTTTCCCAAATGTGCCCAGTGTGATTCACCTCAGGCCCTCGTTATCTCTCAGATTTGAAAGAGAAAAACAGCAGCCACATGTTTGTCCCTCACCTTGTTTAGATCTTGCCTCAAATATCATCATCTTTGTGAGTCTGTCCCTGGCCCCTGGATTTCCTCTTCCCAGCCCTGTGTTATTTTTCTCCATCGCATTTATCAAGATGAAATACGCTACATGATGAGCTTATTCACTTGTTCTCCCCCACTTGAATATATACTTATGAGGTCAGAAATTTTGTCCATTTTATTTTATTTTTCCACCAGGCACGTCTAGAACAGTGCCTGACACATTGTAGATATTCAGCTATTTTTTGAATGGATGACCATCATTTGTGAGCAGTGCTTTGTGTGTGTCTCATTGCATAAAAGTGAAAGATCTTACTTTAACAACTGGATGTAAAGATATTGCCACAAAATGTTGACAGTTAGGTGTAGAAATGGAGGAAAGAAGAGGCAGATAACAATTATTGGTAAGTAGTGGTGTGGCTTCACTCACAGCCTCGGAGCTTGGAAAGAACACACCTGAAACTGCCAGGGACTGTTTTGAAAGCTTCAGTGTTTCTTCCGAGAATGCTGATTTTGATGCCATTCAACATTCAATGGATTCGGCTTGCAGGAATCAACTACAAAGTTAAGCAAAGCTATAATGAGTACTTAAGGCATTTCAATTTAGTCTTATCGGAAAGGTCATTCAGTGAAAGGCATTTTGATCAGAGCAATTCTCTTCACAGAAATGGTGTCTGGGAAGCTGTTCTCTTTCTATTTGATTATTTGAGGATCCATTTGGGATGCTGAGAACACTTGCTAAAACCTACCTTTAAAACTCAGCTGTTTAAAGAAGAAACAAATGCACTGTGGAATAGAAAATGCCAGAAGAATACAGGTAGCAACTTCTTTAATAAAATCAGAATGTTGGACTCAGGATCATGGTATTATGGAAATATAATGGAAAGGACTTACAGGTGAGGAAAATGAGGACTGGAAATAAGAGTACAAATACTTATTGAGAGTATTGTCTCTTGGACCCTGTGCAAAATACTGCATACAGAATAGGCATTGTTGTCTTCATCTGGCGCTCATATTCAACGTGACTGCTTAACTTGCAGCTACCATGCAGCAGGTACGTGGCAGAGAGCTCTCAGACCCAGAGTCCATGTTATTTCAATTTGCTTTCTCAAGGGTAGAGAACATTAACCCTCCACAAATAAATATATTCAGAACAACTCAAGTTGTTTTGACTCTTAGTTCAGTGCTCTTTCCACCAAAATAAATTTTTTGGGTAGGGACAAAGGTAAATTTTGTGCAATAGAATCTACTTATTAGCATCAGTCTATATTCTATCCCCTCATACTTTTTTCAGTTTTTACTTTAAAGACTTTATTTGTCTAAGAATAGGACATGAATTTTTATTTTGTCATTACTGTGTTTTAATATGTATGCTTTATATTTTTCATATTTTCATATTGCCCATGTTTTTAGCTTCATAATAATGGTACTTTCTCCTTTACAAGATACATTAGTTTTCATCACTGTGTGGAAATATCTTGGTAGCCTAATGTTTCTACTTTATAATGTTGATTACTTACCTGCCAAGTGAGAATGGTGTCAGAATTTAGAAACACATTTGTATTTTCTAAGTAGTCTCAAAAATTGCAAATAAGGGATGAAGTATTCAGTATTAACAACAATAGCTAACACTTACAGAGAGCCTAATAGGTGCGAATCACAAGTTCCCTTTTTAAAATGTATATTAACCTATTCTATACTTTCACAGCCCTGTTGGACCAACATTATTGCTCTATTTTACAATCAAAGAAATTGAGGCACAGAGAGGTTAGGCAGATTGCTTAAGGTCACACAATTGGTAAATGACAGGACTGGACTCCAACCCAAGTAACCTCCCTCCAGAGTCCATGCTCCTAACTGCTTGCTATGCTGCCTGTCAGGGTGCATATCAGAACTGTGTGTATCATTCTGGAGGAGCCTGTATCATGCCCTCTTTTTTCCTATAGAAGTCTAACTCTACAAGCTTTAGTCCTATCCAATACAAGCCCACCATGTTTTTTTTTCTGAATCCAGAAATTTAGCAGAACTAAACTCTGTAGTCGGGTGACAGAGTGTTGCCAGACCTGGTTTTGCCCCTTTGCCCTCATTACTGCTCACTTTCTAGCTGCTTGAACTTGGACATGCTACTAAACTTCACTGGGCCTCAGGGTCCACATGTGTAAAGTTGGATAGAAAATGCCCAATTCTGTGTATTCAGAAAGACCTCCCTTTAGAGGCAGTATATCCAAAACACCTCCATGATAATGATTATGTAATGGATGCTCATACTGGTGTCATTCTCACCAATAATAAGTGAAATACGATGGGCTAATATATAACTCAGGTAATTCAGGCAAAACTGGGTTAAAGAAGATACAGGAAGGTGTAAGTTTTGACCTCCATGAAATAAAACTTATGTTCATCAATGTGTTGTTATTCAGTCTCTCAGTCATGTCTGACTCTGCAGCCCCATGAACTTCAGCACACCAGGCTTTCCTGTCCTTCACTATCTCCTGGAGTTTGCTCAAATTCATGTCTGTCCAACCATCTCATCCTCTGTCGTCCTCTTCTCCTCCTGCCTTCAATCTTTCCCAGCATCAGGGTCTTTTCCAGTGAGTCAGTTCTTTGCATCAGGTGGCCTAAGAAATGGAGCTTCAGATTCAGCACCAGTCCTTCCAATGAATATTCAGGGTTGATTTCCTTTAGGATGGACTGGTTTGATCTCCTTGCTTTCCAAGAGACTATCAGGAGTCTTCTCCAGCACCACAATTTGAAAGCATCAGTTCTTTGGCACTCAGTCTTTTTTATGATCCACATCCGTATATGACTACTGGAAAAATTGTAGCTTTGATTAGACCTTTGTCTATAAGTGATGTCTCTGCTTTTTAATATGCTATCCAGGTTTTTCATAGCTTTTCTTCCAAGGAGCAAGCATCTTTTAATTTCATGGCTGCAGTCACCATCCTCAGTCATTTTGTAGCCAAGGAAAATAAAATCTGCCATTGTTTCCATTTTCTCCCCATTTATTTGCTATGAAATAATGGGACCAGATGCCATGATCTTAGTTTTTTGAATGTTAAGTTTTAAGCCAGTGTTTTCACTCTCCTCTTTCACCTTCATCCAGAGGCTCTTTAGTTCCTCTTTCCTTTCTACCATTCACTTGGTATCATCTGCCTATATGAGGTTATTGATATTTCTCCCGACAATCTTGATTCCAGCTTGTGCTTTATCCAGGCATTTCACATGATGTACTCTGCATATAAGTTAAAAAAGTGTGGTGTAGTGATTAATAACTTAGACCTTTGGAGTCACATGGAAGTTAGATGTTGATCCTAATTTGATCTCAGTTTCATACTTCTTGGCTATCTTGGCTTAAGTAAACCTTCCTGAACCTTGTTTTTTCATCCATTAAGTGGGGATAATTATAATTGCCCCTGAAAGCTGGTCTGAGATATATGAAATTATTTAAATGTATATGTTTGTATGTCATGTGTATGCACACACCATATACGTGTATAAACACACATATAATAGCATATGGAGGTGGTTCTTTGGAAAGTATATTCATTTGGCACCAAATTAGTTCACTGGTAATGGGAAGGTCTCTAAATACTTGATCCCTGTACTCATTAGAATTTTCCAGGGAGACAGAACTAATAGGAGATGTGTGTTTATATCTATCAGTATCTATTATATTTATATCTATCTATCTATCTATCTAGAGAGATTTATTTTAAAGCATTGGCTCACATGTTTATGAAAACTGGCAAGTCTAAAATCTGCAGAGCCAATGTCCCCATTTGAGTCCAAAGGCCAGAAGCTGCTTTAGAACCAAAGAGAGCTGAAGTGCTGTTTCAGAGGTCATCACACACTTCACCAATTTCACTTCTTTGGAGGAAGGAGGTTCAACTTTTTGTTCTATTCAGACCTTCGTCTAATTGGATGAGGTTTACATGCATAATGAGAAGTATTTTGTTTTACTCAAGTCTACAGATTTAAATCTCATTCAACAGCCTCTTCACAAAAACACCCAGAATAATGTTTGACTAAGCATCTGAGTACCTGTGACTTAGTCCAACTAACACATAAAATTAACCATAGTAATCTCTATTGGTCTATGATGAAGCTTCTCTTTCCTGAAAAAGATATATACTGTCCTCTGGGTCCATTATTTGTTTTTCTGGCTGAGAGGCAAAAAAATGCCAATGGGAGGAAAGAGGTTTAGGTAACGGTGCTTTAGTCTCATTCCTGGTTATGCCTGTAGGAATCCTCAGAAGGTGGGAGCTGGGGGGAACAGCTTCCACCATGCTAAGGAAATCATACAACAGATGGAAGGGATTTAATGTGCTGAACACTGTAACTATTTTAGATTTAGAATGTGGACTCAGTCACAAAAATAGAACTATAGACTAATAGAGTGTTCATCTATTCCCAGATTTCTCTCTGGTTGGCTTTAAAAACAAATTAAATTGGCCACTGAAATTCTTATATTTGTTCATCAAACTGTCTCTGGTCATTGACTGTATCACAGTTATATAGTCACAAACATACTGTTTGGCCCTCAGGACTTAAAGATAAGTGAAATATTCCTCCCACCCTTGAAAAATTCAACATCTCTAGAGGAAGATAGGATTTTAAAAAGTAGTAACAGTGTAATAACAAAAGTACTTATGAAATATGATGCCATCATAAAGGAAAGAATCAACTATGTCCATGAAAGGCTGGGGGTGAGGGTGGGGGCCAGCGGATAAATAACTGTTAGGTTGACGAAAATCTGTCCTGCCTGGTGTTCTGTTTTGTTCTATGAGTCAGTCACAAGTACTATAAGCTAAAGTTTGAATAGCTGGGACCTTTGCCACATGTTACAATATGTGGTAACTTGGATTTGAATTATAAACGGAAAACAAAAAAGTTTCTGTTACCTCTGTAATTGATGTCTTGACCTTCTGTTTTCAAAGCTCTATAAACATTTGTCAAAGTCTCCTATTATTTATAATTGTACTTGCTAACTCAGAGTTAGTTGTCAGTCTCATTATATTCCATGACTTTATAATTAATCTATTTGAAAAAGATGAAATTTGAAGTTGTAGTGAGTAAATAATTTCAGGCTTGGTTTTCTGTGTTTGAGAGATTTGAGGAGGAGGCCTTGATTGAAACTCCTTTTAAAGGGGACTATATGTACACAGATGTCATTGACAGCTGATTGTTGGCACTAAATTATGACTATGAAAGTTGGTTATCCATAAAATAAAAAGGGTCACTGAAAAATGTTAAAGTATTTCCTAGAAATGTGGCTGCCACTTCTCTTCATTTAGGAGGAAAGCTCTTAAAGAATGAAAGAGCCTTTGATACACTGCCTATAAGTTTACTTTGGGATTAAAAAGCTAAATTCTGGTTGTCAAGAAAGGAAACTTGGAACTTCAAAATAGGAGTCCTATAGTCATGGCTTGGCCATGGATACAAGTCTGGATATCTGAAAGCCCCTTTGAATTGAGTTGGGGGGAGGGAGGTGGGGTAGAAATATCAATAACCTCAGATATGCAGGTGACACCACCCTTATGGCAGAAAGCAAAGAAGA